GAAAATAGTTCCTTTGATATAAGTATATACTTAAAACTTAATATACATTTTTTTTGGTAAAAACTCTTATTGTAGACGATGTCGTTAACAGCCCTTTGAGGATGTGTTGAATACTAGTGTAAGGACTCTCAAGTTGTAAATTGCTGGTTGTTTATTTCTTTGATCCAGAAATATAAATTCTACCGCTGCAGTAAGTGAATTAAAATGGTTCTTTACGTAAAACAATTATTTTTTTTCGAACTTTGTATCACGAAACTTGCCGATGATTTAAAAGATTTGAATTTAACTGCATGTGAACTGCGGAGAAATATTTTATCATAAGATATGACGTTGTAAAATGTGTTTATGAAAGATATATTTTATGTGGAATAAAGGGGGTATATGTATCTTGAACACATCACAAAAAGAAGAGTAATCTAATAGTGCTCGTAGCTCTATTTACTCAATAATTCAATGTATGGGGTAAATAGGTTGGACGTCTGTACACTAAAACAGTTGGATGTGGACTGATTGATACATTAGTCTGGGATAACATGATTTATTTATTAGTTGTTATTTGCTTTGAAATAGTTTTCAGTAACCGAGATAAAAATAAGGAGATGTTGTATGATTGCCAATGACACACCTATCCACCAAAGTTCAAATAAAGTGGATGTAAGCAACTATAGGCAACCGTACGGCCTTCAACAATGAGAAAACTCCATACCGTATAGTCGGCTATAAAAGGCCCCGACATGAAAAATATGAAACAATTCAATCGAGAAAACTAACGCCATAATTTATCACAAAACAATTAACGAAAAACAAATATGACAGACATGAACCAACTACAACCACTGAACTACAGGCTCCTGACTTGGGACAGGCACATAAAGAATGTGGCGGGGTTAAACATGTGTACACTTAGATCGGTTGTGTCTTTTGTTTTATGATAGTCTTTGTTTGTGCTTCGTGCCAATCTGATGAGGTAAGCCATTTCCAACTGATTTTTAAACGGATTTTCGAATGAAAAATCGGCTATTGATTTGGGGATGTACGGCGGGCGGGCGGACGGACGAACGGACGCACAGACCGAAAAACATAATGCCCCTAGGTGGGGCATAAAAAAAAACCAAAAAAAATAAGAAATTGATAAAAAAAATTGGCCGGTGTACAGCAATGCAAACTAAATACTTCATGACACAATTTCTTGTGAAGTTATACTAAGAAGGTCCTTAGGTCGAACACATACGGCGTTATGCTGTAACTTATAACCTACAAGAGACCCGCGGCGTGATCGTATGATACGTAAAGTAACATACAATTATTTGTTATTTAGAAAGTTACTGTTTTAATAAAATTTTGATTTATAGCTTTTTCTTATTATCTTTGATATAGGTCAGATTAAAGGTCGTTTTCTTAAAGATCATATTCTTTTTTTTATTACATCATTATAATAATTATGCTACATCAACCGTAAGAAATTACATTAAAATATTGCATGCATCCACGCACCTGTAGCCGAAAATGAAATATAATAGAAAAGTGAAATATCGAATATCGATAAATGAAAAAAAAATGAATAAAGTCAAAGTAAAATCAGTAGCTATAAAGATCATTGTGTGGAATAAGGCACGTATTTCTTTTCTAAAGACGTGCCTTTAAAATAAACGTGAAATACAATCAGAACCAATTTTACTTCATTTGAAGTTTGACTAGGTGCTTCGACAGGGTTAGAATCTCCTGGTAGGCACGCATCAATTTCGTACTTATTTTAAAATCATATGCAGTAGAAATTGTCAGAATAAGGATGAGACAAACCCGATTATAACATCAGATGGTCAATGGTGAGATCTTATGAAAACTTTAAGCAAAATAACATATGTTAAGGCATTCTAATTTCCATTTTAACGTTTTATGTTGAGAATGGAAATGGGGAATTTATCAAAGAGACAACAACCCGACCAAAGAGCAGACAACAGCCGAAGGCCACCAATGGGTCTTCAATGCAGCGAGAAAATCCCGCATCCGGAGGTGGTCCTCAGCTGGCCCCTAAATAAAATTGTGTACTAGTTCAGTGAAAATGGACGTCACACTAGACTCCAAAACATATAAATGAAACATACAAGACTAACAAAGGCAAGAGGCTCCTGACTTGGGACAGGCGCAAAAATGCGGCGGGGTTAAACATGTTTTGTGAGATCTCAACCCTCCCCCTATATATATACCTCCAGTCAATGTAGAAACACATAGAAAATGTTCATTTTTCATTTTTTGTAATGTTCGTGTGGCTCGTTGATAATAAAATAGCAACTTAAAAGTAAATGAAAAATAACAAATACCAAAAGAAATATGAAGAAAAAAAGTCACATTTTATAGGACTTATGAAAATCTAATATACTTTAAACAACAGAAATTCGGCATTCACATTGTTTCCCCTGTCTCACCAAATATTTTAGTGTTTTGATGTAAAAATAGGGGGATGTTGCATCCACCAGAGACCAATAGGTCACAGTACGGCCTTCAATACTGATTAGCAAAATTCATATACCGTATTGTAAAAGACCAAGAATGACAGAATTTTATACAGTTCAAAAGAGAAAACAAAAGCCTGGGCTGATATGCATAAAACTACTTAAGTTAAGATTTGTTCCGAACGGACGGATTTTTCTACATGGCCTACGATAAATTAGTACTACGATTGGATATCTTAACTTAAGTGGTTTTATGCATATCAGCCCTGATTCATTGGCTATTTTCTTAAATGATTTTTGAAAATAGATCCTAATTGATCTTTGAACTCTGCACAAACGCCCTGCAAAGTATTATAAGTTTACTCATTTAAAAGTGTCCAATTTCATAATTACGATAATCTTACACCTTCGTAGCAATCGTGTTGTGTTTCAAAAGCGAATCCTGAAAATTATACATAGTTTTTTTATTAGTAACATATCAATTTCATAATTAGAAGTAAAACTTCATATATTTTATGAAATTTCACCTGTACATCTGTGATAAAAAAAAATAATTGATGTGCTTTGCTTTTGCGCCAATTGGCATTTCATTTGCGCCAAAAAAAATCTTTCATTTGCGCCAAAAAAATCTTTCATTTGCGCCACTAACAATATTTCATTTGAGCCAAAAATAAAAAAAAAAATCATGTGCGCCTATAATACAGGTTAATACAGGTACTTTCAGTTTAACCTTGATGGTCTTTCAGTAATGTCGACGCTTTTCGAACTCTGATTCTGAGTTGTGATTCACGATATAGCAATGAATAGTATTTCTATATAAAGTTATATATGCACAAGTATATTACCTGTAAAACGGCGCAAATATTGCTTTTATTTAATTTTTTTTTGCGCAAATGAAATATAACCTTGTGGAGCAAATGAAAGATTGGATTTCGTTAAAAAATTGGCGCAAATGCAATGCGCCCCTTTTATTTACATGCAATATCGCGAAGGCGGACATGCATTTCATATTTAGTTTACACTCTAAGAGAGGGGCGAAAGATACCAAAGGGATATTCAAACTCATCGAAAACAAATCGACAATATACCATTTGAAAAAACGAAAAACGAGGAAACGGCAAACAACAGTACAGAAAACTAAAGACTGAGCAAAACTGATAAATAGACTAAATTCAAATGAATGCAATATTGGACAACTGTTCCTTAGACTGTTCAAACATAGACTGCAGTTATGCGAGTTTTGAAGAACTAAAAACACAGCAGTTTCTGATTATCTCATTTCAAAGTTTCAAAGATATCAAGACTCACACAAACTTTCATAAAAAGAAATCATTAATTTGAGATCGATATCAGTTTATAATTCTTTGAATTTTATTTTTCAAATATGCATATTGATCAGTATAATGTTCAAACCGGCTTAGTATTATAGACTGTGGAGATATCTAGTTATGTAAACTTTGATTTAAAGGATTCTTATCTTTTATCTGTAAAGAATGTACGTTAAACAAAAAATAAACGGTAGACGAGAGAGGAAGTATTTACATATCTGAATGTATGGTATAAAAAGACATGCATTATTCAAACAACAGAAATAATTAGAGGCAAATTAAAATCCTGAAACATCTTTTCTCTCAGACAAGCCAAGGCTATTAACGTAAACGACTTGAAATACATGTAACAACATGGTCTTAAAACTACAGCTTTTAAACAGAGTACCGGGAAAGTTACTGTTGCAATGAACTTTCTTATAGAAGCGACGAATTTACTGTTAGAGGCTCATGAAATAGACATGCTTACGTCATAAAAGTCAAATGTTCGCTCAAAATTTTAATCTATACACGGACTATGCTGAGATAGAATTTTCTTCTATAGGTTGATTGCGGAAAAATAAAATAATGAGGCCAAATTGTAAATGAGACAAGTATCCTTCAAATGACCAAAGGTCAATGATGTCAACACCGTCTCGTCATACAATTATCCTTCAAGTGACCAAAGGACAAGGATGTCAACAACGGCTCGTCATACAATTATCCTTCAAGTGACCAAAGGACAAGGAAGTCAACAATGGCTCGTCATACAATTATCTTTCAAGTGACCAAAGGACAAGGAAGTCAACAACGGCTCGTCATACAATTATCTTTCAAGTGACCAAAGGACAAGGATGTCAACAACGGCTCGTCATACAATTATCTTTCAAGTGACCAAAGGACAAGAATGTCAACAACGGTTCGTCATACAATTATCCTTCAAGTGACCAAAGGACAAGGAAGTCAACAACAGCTCGTCATACAATTATCTTTCAAGTGACCAAAGGACAAGGATGTCAACAACGGCTCGTCATACAATTATCTTTCAAGTGACCAAAGGACAAGGATGTTAACAACGGCTCGTCATACAATTATCCCTCAAATGACCAAAGGGCAAGGGTGTAAACAAAGAGAGGTCATCGTATGGCAGGGAACCATGACCAAAACTCACAACATAGAGTAAGCTACAAAAGCAACCGGGATAACAAAAGTGTACCATTATATTTCATATCGTACTTACGAAACATGCAACCAAGACCATTGACTTCCTGCCAGCCATGACAACATTTATACCGTGTGACGTACTGGTGTTGGTATCGTTGTCTCGTTGTCTTGTAGTAATGGGTTCTGAAAAAAAAATTCTAGAATTATCACAAATGCTTTTGGCATAAAAGTTTTTTAAATTAGGACATAAAAAGTTGAATTGTATTATATTTAAAAAAAAAAATAATTGTAAAAGTACAATCGGTATCACATGATTATAGTGGTAATCACTCGGTTGGTGTCGCTGCTTGTGAATTATTAGTCCCCGAGAATACCATCCCATCAGAATCAAATGATATAAATTGTACTTAACCTAGGTTGAAACAAAGCCTTAGACAAAGCTGAACTTTTTCATGTATTCTAATTTTTAAACTGTTAATATTAAGATGCTCCAATATGAAAATAAGGAGATGTGGTATTATTGCCAATGAAGCAACTATTACTAGAGACCAAAGGATGTGCATGGCATAAGCTACGAAAGGCCCCGTCAAGATTATTAACTATCAACACAATTATATCAAAGAGATGTGGACGAAAAACAACACATTAACAAGACAGTATGTCTTGCCTCTTGTAAAAGTGTTTCTTAATGACAGTAAACTAAAGGAAAGCGAAAAAGATCGACACATCTTACCCTCACAAATTAGCTCTAGGATATTTAAAAAGGATGCGTTTTACTACAGTGTGTGGGTTTTTTTCCTGTCTGGGCTGATATACATAAAACTACTAAGTTAAGATTTGTTCCGAACGGACGGATTTTTCTACATGTCCTACGATAAATAAGTACCACGATTGGATATCTTAACTTAAGAGGTTTTATGCATATCAGCCATGGTTTGTAGATATTTTAACTTCACTCAAATTTAAAAAAAAAAAGACATGAGCTCTTATTTATAGATTTGTTTTTTTCTCCGAAACTAAATTGAACGGAATGGCATAATGTCGACGTAGTAACTAGATTTAAGCTGCAGCTTGTTTATCGACAGACTCAAAGGCTAATTTGTTAATAAGTTAAAAATAAATGAAATAAGGAAGTTTTGTAAATAATTAATAGAGAAGTCAATAGAACTCATTTATTTTAATGCTTATAGCGCCGTCTTGATTTATTTAACCGCGATCCTATTGACAATTATACGCATGTGAATAAATTGTAGTACGGGTAAATTTATTTGAATCGGGATTTTAATTGATGGGTTTGAATATTAACTACATGTACATAAAAAAACGTTGCGTAATTGCATATATGGGGCCTGCGCGACTCTTATTACAATAAAATTTAATTGTAAGTTTTACTGAAATGTGTACTACTTAAAGAGTTTTTTTTTTGGGGGGGGGGGGGGGGTATAATTAGGACTTAAGTAAGTTTCAAAGATCGACGTTACCAATTCAACCATAAATTCACCCTTATATTTTTTTTTTCTTTTTTACGATCCCTTCCCCTCCCCAAGTATAAAATGAGACTTGATGGAATCGAATAATATATATACTTAGAAGAACTTCATTTCTTCATAAAATCTAAATGTAACCCAGCGCTATAAAGTTTTGACAAAAAAAAAAGATAAACTTCTGCAACTGTTACACGTTTTTGTTTAAGTTTGCATCAAAGGACATCCGGAGCTAAGCGTATCTTAATTGTGGTAATACTAAGCAAAACTTCCGGTAGACATTTGTATTTATTAATCAAATTATTTTAAGTTTTTGATGTTCAAAGTTGTCCTATGATCCAAAAGTTTTCACTGTAAATTTCGACATAGACCACCCAACAAAAACTTGTGTAACTAATTATTATTTACACTAACACGATTTTCTCTCAATTACTTGTATATTTAATGTTTCATTTTGTTTACTGTTACGAGGTTTTATATTTAATAGTTTTAAAAGCCCGTATTACCCGTATTTCTCTCACAATATGCGCTCAAATGATAGGCTTTCGAAAAGATTTAAATATTTTATATCTATAAAAGTTGTTGGTTGAAAGTCTATAATAGATACAGGACATAAAAAGGCATATCACGAAATGATAGTTTGATATACACATTATTATAGTAATTCATGTTGTCTTGGAGGAGTACACTAGGCCTTCTCACTCACAAGCTGAATCAAGTCCGAAGGACTAACAAAACATTTTTATGAACACTTACATAACTATTTCGACTGTGTAGGAATTGATAATCGTGTCACGAAGCGGGTTTATACATGTATAAACTTTTTGGTTGTCATGACACTGGCAAATGAAATAAGACTTAACATATAACATTGAAATTATATACGTAAGCAACTGAATGCACACTTCGTTTCCTGGTATAACCTACACCAGAAACGGTTTATACTTAAAGTTTCGGAAGCCAAATACTTGTAATTTTTTAAGACATTTTTTTTCTAATTTTTTAATCCGGAGCTAGCCTGTTCAGGCAACGTGTTTTGTAGAAAATCCTGGAGCCACTGGTTCAGATTTGGTTGTTGCGTGAGATGAAAAGTATATTATATGTTAACGCTATATTTTAAGCTGTGGACAAGAAACTAAGAAACCTTTTTCATCATGTTAGTTTATAGTTATATCATATTATCATATTTAATTTATTGTCACAAGCCTGCTTCATGTGTTTAATGGCAAATAATTTATTGAATTGAATTGGATTTATTTACATGAAAAAGGAACCCAATAACACAAGTTCCCCAGAACCGACATCTAAATCTATGGGGAATTTAGGTCACCATATGGTTATCAAAAGAATAGACAACCGTATGACAAACTGACAGCTTTAGTGAAATACATGAATGATTTAAAGACACACCTACGATTAAATTTGATTCCAATAGCATAGTTACCATACATGTATATATTTGCACACTTATGTATTTTTGAACAAGCAAGCGCAACATAATAACGAGTCGTGTTCACAATGAAAGTTTGTTTGTAATTTTTGGGGTTCTATTTTTTTTTGGGGGGGGGGGGGGGGGGTCTATCTTTAGTTTTCTGTTAATAGTTTTGTCTTCTCGTCTTTTTTACTTTGGCGCTTACTGTCTTTTCATCGGATAATTCTACGACTCCTCCGTCGCATCCAATCGAACTGACCTCACTAAAGTGTTTTGACATTACGACTGATTTTTACCTTTAAGACTGGTTAGTCCTTTTGCCTGTCAGTACTATTTTCTTTATAACTGAATACCTCACACAAACGTTACTTATATTTAATTACTGTCATTTGTAATTTTCATTTATTGTTTTCCATTTATACATTATGTGACACTTTCAAGATAATGTAATTGGTAAGTTTGGTAATTCGATGTTATGTTTATTACTGACAAGAACATGACACCTCGTTATGGTAGGTCACCGACCCATCAAGAGACCATTATTTTTTATTAATTATTTTTAAAAATTCATCGTTAAGTACTCGAGAAATCTGGAGTTTTAAACTTCAATTAAAAACTGCTAAAACTGCAAACAAAATGAGTATATTATCTTATAGACATGAATATCATCCCCGAGATAACTTACTGTGTTTTCAGTTTATAAATAATGTAATTCGTCTTAAAATAAAATTGATTCGTCATAAGGCAAGGTTGACCTGAATAAAGTTGGGCGATTCGTCTGTTCCAGTCCTTTTGGATTTCATTGTTGTGGACGTTATATATTTTGGCTTTCCAAATTTTAATATACACTCGAACTCATATGATTAACGTACGAAACATTCGGAAACACTGAATAATATACATAAAAAAGATAAAGGGAATTACCAAAATATCGAACAGTTCAAACAGACCGCCCCAACCACCAACATCCGACCCCTTCTTGAAAATAGAGGTATAAAAGACAAATCGGCACAGTATCAGTATTTCAGAATATATGCCATTTTCGGGTATGTTTATGCCCGACCTACGATAATAAGCAAGCATTATGTTTTCTGATCTGCTTGTCCGTCCGTCCGTCCCGTTTCGAGTGAAAGTTTTTGCTGAAGGTGGTTTACTCTTAAGGATGTTTGCTACTCTGATTAAAAATAACAAGCTTTTTAGAATAATGTTATAAATTGATTGTATATGAATAATGGAACTAAAAAATAAAAAAAATGATGGGTCCGTGTGCTTGTTTTTGAGATATAAGCCATTGAAAATTTGGCGGGAAATGATTCTCTCTAGATTTTTCATACAGTTAACATTGGCAGCTTTTTTCTTTCAAAAGCTATGAAAAAATAACAAGGATTTTATAGGATTTTCAAATATGGCATTTGAAACTATATGTAATAAGATTATGAAAAGAAAAGTAGGGCTTAGTGGGCAAAAAATGTTAATGGCAATACATGGGTAGAACCAGAGGATTCTGAATATCTGACAAAATTTTAAAAACAAGAGTAGTAAACATCCTTAAGTTGTGGTCACATCAACTTGAAACTTAGTACACATGTTCATTATAGTGTGCACAATTTAACTTATCTGGCAAATTCCGGTTTTTATGCCCCCGTCGTAGGCGACGCGGGCATTAAATGTTACCCTTTCCGTGCGTCTGTCCGTCCGTACCATTTTCGTTTGTTTGAAGGAATTATGTTAGTTTATAGGTAAATGAAATGTTTTGAATACAATTAAAATACGTGTATGTATTCCCAAAAAATGCCCATGAAAAATATTAAATATCTTTTGATATAGTTGTTTTCATTATATGGTAATGATTGTTTATTGGCTGCTTGACATCCAGTTGGAACTATTTATCAATAATAGGATCAACATAATGAGTGAGGTGAATATTTCAACAACATCCTGAGTAAGATAATTATATTGCTATGCATGCAGATCTCAATGTATTAAAACATTTAATCCCGCTGCAAATGTTTGCACCTGTCCTAAGTCAGGAATCTGATGTACAGTAGTTGTAGTCTGTTTATTTAGTTCATACGTGTTTCTCGTTTCTCGTTTTTATATAGATTATACCGCTGGTTTTCCCGTTTGAATGGTTTTACACTAGTATTTTTGGGGCCCTTTATAGCTTGCTGTTCGGTGTGAGCCAAGGCTCCGTGTTGAAGGCCGTACCTTGACCTATAATGGTTTACTTTTATAAATTGTTACTTGAATGGAGAGTTGTCTCATTGGCACTCATACCACATCTTCCTATGTCTATTCCCATAAAATACATTTAACCACATTCACATGCATTATTCTGACTTAGCAAAATACTTTTTCCTTTTGCCCCTGAAACCTGCAATTAATGTATTTCAAACTGGAAGTGGTTGCACCAATAACACATCCCTAATTATTATTAGCATGCCAATCCCAATACCACCACTTTGGTCTCGAATTTTGGAACTCTTAAATTTTCCCTTACAAAAGAGTTCTGATTGCATGTCAATAGCTAGACTAACAAGGGGATATGGAGTTTTCATTAAAATAAGATAAATCTGTCATTTTTCAAAAATTCATGTGAATTTAATATTGATTTCATCCAAGACAGATAGCTCTAGATATCTATGTCTGTTGTAGTCCGAGATTACTCTGACGTCCAACGGCTGTTTTGCCAGACAAGCTGGGGCCGTGGGACAACAGCCCCCGCAACAGCCCCCCATATTGTCTGGCAAACAATCTCGGACTATGTCTGTTGAAACAATGATCGGGGATGACAATGGTTCTAACAAGTACTGATGTGATCGTGGTCATCTAACGAAAGATTTTTTATTTTTGTCTCCTAGAACAGTTAAAACGAAATGCATTTCAAATAACTGTGTGTTTAATAACTACGTGTCCTCGGCAATGATCTGACACAACTTCATGTTGGCATCCCGATTTTTGACCTTTTATTTACAAATCGATTTATCACACGTGCGTTTGAATCGCTCGGAACAATATATGCACGAGAAATGTCTAAGAGAAAAAAAAATGTCAAGGATAAACTAATTTTGGAGCGGCATGCGGCCCAAAAATTGGCGGAAGCGGTAATTATTTTTTTTTATTGAAAAGTCAATTTCTCCAAAACAGGAGCGGGAAAATCCAAAGAACTATTAATCAAATTGGTGTGGCCTTAGTTCAAGTAGTTTATCCGGAAGTTGTTGGTCACATCAACTTGATTTTAATTTGATGTAAACCTTTTGGATGCCAAATTAAGGTTTTTGACCCTGATTTTGCGGTTCACTGATCAAGAAAATGATAGTACAAACGGGGCATGGTGTCCTACAGACACAAATTATTGTGTCATCATAGCTTCTATGACACAAAGTTCCTTACAAGTCTTGTTTAGAAAACTGCTGATGGAATGTCGCACATGAAAGCAGAGAGAAGACAAATTACTTGACATAGCAGTGTTGTAGTTAATTAGAGGTTACGCTGATAATGTCATGTAAATTTCATTCCAGTATATCAATAATGACAAGATGTTAGTCACAAGAAGTGACCCATAAAATATGTCTCAAGGAGTTTGGCAACTCTGATGGGAACTTGAGTTCATTTTTGTAGGCTTTTTCATGTTCCTTGACATTTTTACGCAAGGGTTGTCATGACATTGTCAGGAACATTGAATAATATAGCTATATCATTCTACCTAGTTTTGTTTTAGTTCCTTATTTTATTATATGGAATCTTAGTCGACTTATAAAGAATTTTTATTTGTAGAATGTTCTATTTCTATGTTATCATTTGGTTTTGAATCAGGTTGCCTATAACTTTGTTACATATCTTAATTGGATAAAGTTTTTATAATGCCCAACCTAATGACCTCTCTTCATAAATAAAACAATCTCATGATCTGTCTTTCAGAAGTTTCAATGTATAACTTATCCAATTATTCTATCTTGAAAGGATTGCAAAGTCTGGAATACAATGGAAAAATATCAGTGGAAATACAGATAATTATGAAACGCTGGTTAGTTCTTTAATGTCCGCGTGTTCCTAGACTTAATTGCATGTCTCATTTCGTTAGTTCAGAAGGTACAATTATTGGACATCGATGAACGTAAGCGGCTTTTTTTGTATCGAACAGTCAATTAATGAATAAGTAACATAAGGGACTGCACTTGATTTAGAACCAATCAATTAATCCGTTACAAATGACGGTTACATGTAAATGTAATACGGATCGGAAATAGCAGATGTGTTTTGTCAATTTTCTTTTATTACGGTTTCTAATAATTATTAAATTATTTGGTATTTAAGGCACTGGAATTGAAGGATTATTTAACGAAAGTGAAGTCTCACGCGAACTTTGTCAATAAAATACTGCATACTTTTGAAATATGAAACAGCTCACGCTATGGTCTTCTATATGAATCTTTGTTCTGATTTCTAAGTAAACGATAAAACATCAATAAAGACATATATTCAAGCAGTAAAAATGTTGCTTTATTTCTCAAGTTCTTTGTTTCTTCTTGACGTGTCATGCTAGGAAACGCAATCGTAAGCTATTTGCCGTCTTTAAAACGTAACAAACAGCGTCGGATACAAAGTCATAAACAAAAACATGATACTGACAGAACATTTTAATTGTTCTTTTAACAAGATTCACAGCTTATTCCGAACATCAGATACTTTGGAACTCCTTGCACTTTTAGTCTTTTAAAATATACTTTCACTTATTTTTCTTCTTGGTGCATTAGTGTTGGCTTTTCATTTGCAATATCGGTGTCATATAAGTTTTATTTTCCATTTATGCGTTTCTTATAAATCTTCTTTAAGAAATGGACAAGCGTATTTTTCGGAGTAAAAGTATTTCAACATCAATATCTTGAATTGCATAGTTATATTTAATTCGTTTACCATGGAATTGTTTAAATGTATCTATCACAGAACAGGATCGACTTATGGTTCCAAAACTTCTGTAAATTCAGAAATTATTGCTATGTTTTTATTGATGTGAACAATGTAACTCAGCGAGCGTGTCAATGATGTCTGATACACAGCTTTGTATGCAGCCTTTCCTGATCGCAATAAATAATCTTGAATTTTTGTTGTCTTGTCATTGTAATACATTGACTTCCGAATATAATATATTCATGGAAAATTTTGGCTTCCAAATATAAAAAAATGTTAAAAATGAAATAAACATTTTGTAAATTTCGTGCGTCTGAAGTGCTTTTCAAGATTTACCTTCATTTGGAACCCTCAAACCTTAACATTTGAACGTTAGTGATGTGTAAATACACTGAAACGTTAGGAGCTACATCAAAGGTTAACTTACCTTCGTTCATGACCTATGCACCACTTTTTTGTACCTCCGCAATTTGGTTTCCATACTTTAACCATTCTCGTATACCTTTGAACACATGGAACTCGGACTAATATCATTTGTACATCTTGATAAGGACACACGTTTGGCCTGTAAAAACAAAAATGCATTTGAGAGGCATATAAATCTTCGGCAAAGTACAAAGTTGCGAGACATTTCTTTAAACCTGAAAATCACGGAGATATATCTTTTAAATATGACAAAGTTGGATAGACGAATCTGTCATTTGATCTATTTTTCCATTAGAGTGAAAGTTGTAACTGTAATCCATTTCGGACCATCAAAATGGAGAATAGGAGTAGAAACTACCGGTACAAAGTGGACAGTAAAAAGTCGAAAAAAAAAGAAAACAAATTAGTCAAAAGGAAACCGACAATAAGACACACAACACTAGACAAAACACTAGACAAAACACTTGAGAGTGAGCAACAGTTGCTCAAGAAGGGTAGGCAGATCCTGCTCCACTTGTGGCATCCGATTTCACTAACAGACAATATTCTTCCAAGCTAACCTCTCATTGTTGCAATAGTTTATTTGTTTATTTTTGAAATAAAATAAACAGTTCTTAAAGTTTACTAATTTAAAAGATGATATATACGATTTAATAAAAACTACTTTGTGTAACTTTATGTCACAGGTACATGCATTTTAGAAGTACATTTTCATAGTAATGAAAAGATAGTGATCAAATTTATTAATCTTTGTTGGTAATTTATAACGATATTAACAAATTGTGTATTTGATATGAGCATAAATCCGGTTTTGAATATAATTGTTATTGGCCTTCCCATCGTGTATATTAAATGCATTAGACCTGTTTTGCAATATATATTTTGTGTAATTACAGTTTAAATAATGTAAATCAGGCAGTTGTTTACGCTGAATGCATTTTGATAAAGTCCTATAATTTTTTACGCTCTTTCGTTTTACTTTTGACGAAATAAGTTTATTATAGAGCCCTTAAAAATAAATAATTAAAATTAATAAGAAAAAACTCTTCTTATTTTAATGTGCAATATACATATTTTTGATTAACAAATCAAATTTGAAAAATCGTTTTACTACGGACTGCGAAATTTAAAGTTCGAATAATACCGTTTCAGTCACACATTAGTTGGATTGGACTAATGAATGTCTAATTTTGTCCAAGCAAAAGGGTTTTCTACAATTATATATATGAGTATGACAAATAAAACGTTATGAATGGCGTTATAAATTTTCAACTAAAAATCTTTTAATCGTAAAAATGGAAACATGCAATAAATCCAACGAAATAGTAAAAACAATGCGGCTACATTGCCATTTATTTATTTCATAACATTTTTAAATATTGTTTTTTAATGTTTAATAAAACTCTTTTGATCACAGATCATTGAGTGAACTTTGGAATTCTAAAATGCAACAGCATGTCGTATTTTTCCAGGTGGCAAAGACAAGTAATAGTATCTTCAAAAAGATATATAAAAAACCCTGAAAACGAGGTAGGGCAAATTTTTCCCGTATACTTTGTTGCCAAATCCTGTTAGAAATTGATATGAAAGAGTCTATATCATATATTCTAAATCTTTTTTTCAACAATTTTACATCTTTCCATAAATTTAAAATGTTATTCAGCGCTATACATGTTGCTGTTGAAGGCATTTACTAGTAGTTAAAACAAAAGCTAATATCAAATACAAACGATGAATATTGTTGTAGTCTTATCAAGAGGTCATGTTCAAAAAATTTGAAAGAAACGACAACAAAGCGGTGATGGCAAAGGACAATGAAAAAAAAACCCTAATGGCTATATTGACAGAAATGCATGATTCAGGTATTTTTTTTTTACAACGTGATAGCTGCAAGATCATCGTTACGTTTTAAAAAAACGCCAGACTGACAACTTGACTTCCAGACGACAGTACATGGATTTATCTGATTTGTTTAAAAATACGAATCTAAATTGATAAGTACTGACATAATACATATGTTTTATAAAGACACTAACTTGTAAAAGTTAATAAATAAAATAAAAAAACGACAGCGAAGTGTTTCAAAAATTAGGGAAAAGTACGTACAGCGAAGTATTGCAAACATTTAAAATAAAAAAAAGCGAAGTATTGCAAAATTTAGAGAAAAAAACGACAGCGAAGTGTTGCAAAAATTTAAAAAAAAAGAAGACAGCGAAGTGTTGTAAAAGTTAGAAAAAAGGACAGCGAAATGGTGTTTGAAAAGGACAATGAAAAAAAAACCACCCCTAATGGTTATATTGATATGAGTCGGGTATTTTTGTTACGACATGATAGCTGCAAGATCATCATTACGTTTAAAAATCGTCAGACTGACTTCTTGACTTCCAGACGACAGTACATGGTCTAGATTTATCTGATTTGTTTAAAAATACGAATCTGAATTGATAAGTACTGACATATTCCATATGTTTTATAAAGACACTGACTTGTAAACGTTAGAAATAAAAAAAAAACGACAGCGAAGTGTTGCAAAATGAAAAAAAAAACACAGCAAAGTGTTCATTGTAAAAATTCGAAAAAAAAGGATAGCGTTGTGGTGTTTGAAAAGGACAATAAAAAACAACCCTAATGGTTATATTGACATAAGTCAGGTATTATTTTACGACATGATAGCTGCAAGATCATCATTACGTTTTAAAAAAACGCCAGACTGACTTCTTGACTTCCAGACGACAGTACATGGTCTAGATTTATCTGATTTGTTTAAAAATACGAATCTAAATTGATAAGTACTGACATATTCCATATGTTTTATAAAGACACTAATTTGTTTAAATTAATTTTAAATGCATCTACTTGTTGTACATCAAATGATTAAATATTTAAATGATTTTATAACACGAACAATGATGTATGATATCAGCGAACTAAATTAACACAATGGCCGTTGTCAAATGAGACATTCCAACCACCAGGTTGCATCTGATAAATGGTTGTGCGAAATAAATAATTACTTATTGATATGTCTATATCGTACAATTATCGCGGTTAATAATTCAATGTCTTTGAAACATCCACCTTTATTACTTAAATCGGTATTTTAGATATTTTTTTATCATTTTAATTCTGTAGTAAAGTTTGACGTACAGTAGTACATGGGTTGGAACCAGTAAAGTAAAAATTTAAATAGAATCTATTTAATTGACCTCTAAGCAAATGTGAATTTTTAAAGGGGACGCATAAACGCATTTGATTACACTTTCATAGCAATTATCAATTAAAAGGTAAAATAAATCGTTATTTATTACACTTTTTAACAAACTTCTGCCAAGGCAAAATTGTACTTAGAAGCCAAGATTGTATTTGAACATTTGCATGCAGAACATGGGTTGGAACCTATAAAATAAAAACTACCAATAGAAATATTTTAATTGATCTCTAAGCAAATGTGATTTTTTAAAGGGGACGCTAAAACGCGTTTGATTACACTATCATAGCAATTATCAAAGGTAAAATGTATTGCTAGTTATTACACTACTGTCAAGACAAAATTGTACTAAGGAGACAATATTGTATGCGAAGATTTGCATGGATCAATTGACGATCATCTTGGTCGTAAAACGGATATTTGGGACGATCAAATCAAAAATTGATGTCCACAAATCTTTTAATACAGTACAGGCATCACAATTATAATGCAACTGATAAAAAAAACTCCGTTAAATCATACATTTAAAATTCTGTCATAATGATGTCTGCACTTGCTGCACAATATCAGAACACCAATCACGGAATTGATTCCCTTAAATTTGTGGCGCTCTCGAATCAAAATGAACGTTACAAACAGTGCTGCTTTAGAATTGTTTTACTGTTGTGGTTCACAATTGGTTCATAATCGGTTAAACCACTCATCAGAGTTATTGTATACATGTGTGTCAACTTTAAATACAACTTACTTACTTACTTACTTACAATCTGACTAGTTGAATTACGTTAACAAACGTCCAGAAAATTTCTTTGACAAAAAAGAATATGTTGATGTGAAACATATTACAACCTGTTAACTATGAATTATTTATGCTACAAGACAACTGTTGACAATGCTAGTAAATTTCAATTTGCATGAAATTACAACCACCTTTGTCATTAAAACATGAAATGTGATTAGTAATTCATTACATAACCATAAAACAGATTGTATAATGACTCAGTAAATATGTTAAATTTGATAAATTACACGAAAGGTGGTCCATTATACAGAAATATAAGTATGCATTTCACTTTAATAGTACACACTACGGTAGGTGCATTTTGTATTGACAAGATGAACAAATGGAAATGCAGACGTGATACGTACGTGTAATTCAAGCACGTATACGTGTCTGGTGCACAAAAGTGTAATACGGTACACACAACGGTAGGATACGTGACAGGATACCTACGAAACGCGATATGTGTAATTCAAGCATCTATATACGTGTACGGGGAAAAGTTTTAGATGCATGAACAAGCCATCTTGTTGATGATTCTGAAAGGCTGCAAATGGGAATAGACAGAAAATGGGTAGATCAGAGATGTTATTTGATTTAGTGCACACGGCTGTAATAAATGAAAGAAAAAAAAACATTTTTTTCATCTAACGAAAAGAAACGGTAGATTATTGGTGACTTTGCTGTGATAAGATAAAAATTCCAAATAACTAATGGAGCTGTTGTCTTTCGTATTTAATGTTTGAAGGGGTTGTCATCCTTTGCCACCAATGATTAAAGGGGTTGAAGTTCCGCTTTATATGGTTGAGACAAATGCAGTTTATTTACTGTACATTTAAACCGATATGTAACTTTATATGTAACGATATGACGCCATCACGATCCATCATGCACGAGTTGGTTGACCGCTATGGGATTTCTGTTTCACAGATTACGATGGATATGTTCCAATTGTAGTAATCGCAATCCCGTCCTCCCCCCCCCCCCCCCCCCCCCCCCTCCAATGTGACCTACCGAATTAGATTTATCACCTTATCACCAGGTTTGTACTGACGTGAGCAACACGACGGGTGCCACATGTGGAACAGGATCTGCTTACCCTTTCGGAGTACTTGAGTTCTCCCCGGTTTTTTTGTGGGGTTCGTGTTGC